TTACCTTTTGGCAGATAGGAAATGGGCCTGAAATGGGCCTGAAATGGACATGGCAGCTATAGTTTCAGCAACCATAAAAGGTAATTTGTTACATACATTTTATGAGCACCTTAATTATATCTGCTCGAGACATTTTAAGAGTATTTCAGGACTATCATCAGTGTTTTGGTCCATTAAATTTCCAAATCTCCGAAAGCGCTTGTTCCTGATGTCCTGAAATGTATTACAAAGCCATCAGTAATGATGGCTTTCCCGGCAATTTCCGGGACACTCATATGACCAGTACAGCCTGCCTAACTGGGATGTTTCGGGTTTATTTCAAAGTGCATGACAGACAGCCTTTTCCGACAAGAGAAATTGCCTCAAAAGTGACAGAAAAGTGAGCATTTCAGCACTCGGGAAAGTTGCTGGAAAGTCTCCTGAAATGTTACATTTTGGATGCCTTGTCTGGGACATTTCGGGCCCCCTGAAATCTGGGGATGCCCGTAGTGTTTACTCAGACAATCCTGTACATTCACTTGCCGTGCGATACTACGAGCAACGAAAAACGAAGATCGTCTGAAAAACGGGCCATGCGGCATCAGCACTGGGGACCGAGGCATGTAGAGTGGAAGAGTGGATGCGAGTAGATTCAAGAGCGCGGCGCAAAGTGGAGTGCGATGAATTGATAGCGGCGGTGTCGAAAGTTTGAGATGTCACTCAACTTTCCATGGGCATTCTTGTAATTGATGAGAATGTTGCAAGTATATTTCACGGTCTACATACATGTCCAAAAACAAATTTCGAGATTGTCCGGTCTTAACAGATGTCTTAATTTGACCTGTATCTTGACCAGAGATATAGACCCTAGGGAGCACGCTAGCCAGCTCGATATCGTGTCTATTCGACATCAGGTGGGTTCACGCGATGAGAAGCCGAAATGTCCAGATCGACCACCGACCTTCACGCGCTGCTAGCTTCGAGTGCTGATCTAGCGCTGATCCTTCATCTCAGAGATGACATAGCTATATGTCAGGCTTATCATGCTCGACTTTGCAGAAACTGTGCTTGGGAATGTCGTGAATGTCGTAGAGAGGTCACTCGGTGCTGTCTTGTCCGGAACGTCAGGGGTTGTCTCCAAACGCTCGAGGGAAAATGATGGGATCTGAGATCCACATCGTAATTATGCAGACACTCATACATTCGAGGCGTTTCTGTCGTCTTCATCCCCGCAGCGACGACGTTAACACCATCCTCGGCCGACGTGCATTCTGTTCCACACATTTGGCTACTTTACTGAGCCCATCGATTGCGGCCCAGCCGTCATCGAGACCTCTCTAGGATTCCCTCTACATGTTCCGTCTCCTGCGCCGCAGACCTCGCAAGACCCCACGCTTTGAGGCATCATCTTCTAGCAGGAGTCTCCCACTCCAAGGTTGCTCGAGGTTACCAAAGCATGAGACGTAGTGCCACTGAAAGAAGACATATATTTTCTGGAGGAACCTTTGCTATGTACGTCCTTCCGTTACTTTCAAAGCCTCTTCATTTTATACAACATCATACAGTGAACAGGCGGGGTCATGACTTGGCTGAATTGCCCTCACGCGACACTCTTTCGTCTTCACGAGAGTATATAGTGTGCCTGTGTCAGTATCGCATAATGGTCTGTCCTGCCAGTGGACATCGGCAAGCCCAAAGACGTCCACAACACGACCTCATTCACGCCCATGACCCCCGATCGCCAGCAATACTCCAGAACTACGTGCAATCGAACCAGTTCACGCCCATCGGCCAGCTATCGAGTCTTAAAGAATATCTTGGCGAGCTCGATCGGCGAGGGCGCAGTACCACGCGTCGCGGACGGAGGGGATGAAGAAGCTGCGGTCCTTGAACAAGAAGCAGAAGACGATTCGCTCGCTGCGAGGGATGAGTCGGCGCTGCGGCTGGTGGAGGCGTTGTCGGGGCTGATTTGCAGCCTGGTCGAGGTGCGTCATCATTATTTCGATTATAGGTGTACCGAGGATAACAGGTGCGAGTGCAGGTTCACTTGTATGCCGAGTCTTCGAACCTCCGCACCTTGTTCAGATCGTCGTAGATGCTGCTACGCGTCGCTCAGAGTTCGAACTGAGGGCCTGAACTCGATAGAGATCAAGTACAAGCTGACGAGCTGGAAGCGAGTGGTGCGCGCGGACATGCCGACAATTTTTATAATTTTGACCTTCGATGCTAAGATAATCGCGCGGTTCAGGAATGCCACCACTGCATTGCGTGTCTTGCTCTGTGAGCTTGGGTGACGGGCGGACATCGAGACGCGGGTGATCAAGCGTGCGCGCTGTATCAGTAAATAAAGCCTGTGTCGTCAAGACGCTCGCCACTCGGGCAACGGCCCTCTGCGAACACACTCAAGCGCGGACCCGGGTCTGCAGGCAGAAAGCCATCCGACCTTGCGGGGGGTGGCACGATGCGGGATTTCGTCGCTGTGCATCATTTTCTTCGTCTTAAGGCTCGAATTTTCGACTGACTTGTGCGCATGCAGAACCCGACGTTCCTCCCCTATCCACCACCGAGTCTCGCTCTCGACTACTCGCTTCTGCCGAAGGTTTACATCCACGGCGATGCACCGAGCCTATCGACCACAGAGCACCCCCGTAGACTCGAGCCTGTCTCGCATGTCACCGACGAGCCAGAACCATCTGACGGCGAGGGTACGTTGCTGAGGCTAGTTATCAAGGTCAGAGCGACGTGTGTTCGTGAGGATGATGATAGTGACGGCGGTATGAACGAGCCTGAGCAGAAGAAACGCAGGGCTTGCGACGGTCGCTTTGCTAATGAAGTCTAGAGCCTTTACTCAGACAACGTGATAAGTTATTCTCCATGCGTTTATGCGGCTACTGCAAAGTGATTTTAGTATTGTTACAGTTTTGTGTTCTCTTCCATCATTGGCGAATGAGCTGCGAGATATTTTGAAGATATCAGAGTTTAGCGAAGCGGGCGAAGTGTCGGAAGGCACCTCTTCCCAGGCCGTCAGCGTCATCTCTTAGCCCCCACACGAGCACAGAATTCAAAATTGCCGTTCCTGACAGATCGCCGCTTCTAGTCAAACTATGATTATCTGCACCGTTTTCGCCTCTCATTTGAACTGCACGACTCGAATTTCAGGCTGAGTCCGCAGTCAAGAAGGATGGTATTATGTCGCACTCGCCGAATAACATGGTATGTAGGTTGAAGTGTATTTCAGGAAAATTCACAAAGTATCTCATGTAGAGCTCATTCGGGTTGGCTTCTCCTTAAGCATAGTGTCCCTTCTGGCTCGCCAGCATCTGCCAGCCCCAGCGCGCCGTGCGGGGAAAGAACCCACCCGCGATGATATCTCGGACTGCACAGGACATACCTGCGGTTCTGCGTTGACGATGAAGACAAAAATAGTGTAGGATGCCCCGGCAAGCATGGACGGATTGAATGCACGCCCGAAGCACCCCAGAGGTATACATCCCGAGTGGAGGTTGTGTCGAGCAGGATCGTCTCTTCAGGGTATACATTCTGATGCATGGAATGCTGCCCTCGGTGTCTGTAGCGGAGTGTCGGTAGCATGTTCCGTGAGATGGGATGCTGGGGAACGTCCGGAAGAGACGCAGGAGGCGATCGTCTGGCTCGGCTTGCAACGCCACAAAAAAGCGACATATCCGCTCACGGTGTCATCCTCGGTATCTGCACCACATGCTGCACAACACATGGTACATACGAGATCTTGGGACCCCGAAAGGAAGCGCCGGAATGCTGCCTGCCGTACGGGCACGTCCTGCCTCGGCTGCTTTCATTATATGCCTCAGTAGCAGGTCCGCTTCATGAAGGAATGATTAGCCTACATGACCCTATAAAACAAGACAGCTTGTGAGTGACATGCCACGAGTACTATCATTTTTGCGTTGATATCCAATCTGTGCACGAGTAGTTCATTGTACAGCTCAGTCGCCTGCTGGCCCAGCGCAGAACTTTAACCTTATGAGCTTCTGTATCCTGAAACCATGACCGAAGGATGTATCAGTAGCCATATAAACGTTACGGTAGGGTAGACTCACATACAGGCTTCCCACCGCTCTCCTGTTCCTCTACCCACTATGGACACACTCGCTGCCCAGAGCGCCTCCACTGTAGACACAAGCTCCTGGTACCCATCTCCTACCTTCCGTGGTACATGGCAAATCATATCCACCTGCATTTCCACCCTCATTATCTGCATTTGGAACGCTACCCATATCGACATACCTCCTAACCGCCAAATGCGGACCTTTCCCGAGAAAGTTCGGTGGCTGATTGCGGGGCTGCTTGCTCCCGATTGGCTTCTATTGAGGGCCTTCGATCAGCTTTGCTCAGCGCGGCAACTCTCAAAGTTTGCGGGCGATTGCTTGGAGGTGGAACAAATGATGGCTGCCCCCACCTGGCGGGACAGGTTATGGCGATGCGTTGGCAGGGGTCCAAGAAATAAAGTGAGTTCATCAGGACCATATCATTCGTCGCGAGCCGACTCACGCTGATCTATACGTCGCCAGCTTTCTTCTCGCTTGTCCGAATTCTCCGCAGAATTTGAGCAAATCGTACAATGGGCAGAAGAGGAACTTGAGAGTCGTAAGGTAGGTGATGTCTTGCGCGCTCTGCTCATAAGATACTAAGCCTTGTTTTTCAGGCGGACGCTGATAGCGCTGCGATGCAGTTCGGATTCCTTCCCCGCAAGAATGCCTGGACGCTCACTCACGGCTACTATGCCGCCATGGGCGGCTTCGTTCTCGATTCTTCACCGACCCCGGTCTTTGGGACAGAGACACGGCTTGTCCTTACTCCGTGGATGCTAGACTTTCTTATGAAACGCGCCCCTAATCTGATCCCCGACCTCTCGGAGGACGACATTCTGTGTCAGAGCAAGTCCGACGGGCTCGCGAAGGCGCTCCTCGTCGTGCAGCTACTCTACTTCGCTGTGTCCTGCATTGCACGCCTCGCACAGTCGCTACCACTCAGCCTGCTCGAGGTCTGGACACTAGCGCATGCGCTGGGCACGATCTTCGTGTACGCCATATGGTGGAAGAAGCCGCTGAACATCTCAAAGCCGACGGTGATCACGGGGATGAGAGCTCGCGAATTCGCAGCCTACTTCCAAATGATCGGCACGCCGAGTATTTCACGTTTAACGGGAATTTGGAGTGCCACTGGCACGGCTGAGATGGACTATCTCGAGATCATTCCTTATCAATACGTAGAGGATAGCGGAATCGTCAGTTACGAGGGGCAGGAGACACTCACAATGCTCCCCACGCAGTCTATGCTAGTCTCAGAGGATTACGCCTTTAGCATCAAGGCCAACATGGCACCCGACTCCAAGAATCGCAACATGTTCGGAAAGACCTTCTGTCCGTGGTACACAAAGGAGCGGGGATCGAATGGCAGCATCACCCTAGGACGGGCCGACATCGTGCGATGGCGGCTCGCCGGATGCGCTGCAGCACAAGTGGATGGGTTCCCACAGCCTGAATCCTCGGCTCGCTATACGAAGATAGGTGGATTGGAAACAACTAGGCCATTCTCCTTGTCCTCACGATCTCGAGAATCGATCATCCAGATCACCCTCGTGACCACATACGCGCTGCCACATATATTGGGCTGGAACGCCGCCTTCCCGACTCCCGTCGAGCACGCGCTGTGGCGTCTCGCGTCCGTTATGGCAGTGGCCTTCCCCACAGCTATCGTCGGCGTCAGTGTTATTGCGAATAATGCTCCGCCCGATGCAGCTCATGGAAGAGCAATTTCACACATGTTGCGTCCTCTCGCTGTTTTCACGAATGCCATACTTGGTTCCCTATCTATCATACTGTACATCTTATCAAACGTGTACTTTCTTGTCGAGAGCCTCAGGCAGCTTTACTACCTTCCTGACGACGTATCCCTACTTCCAAACCTTTCGATTTACTTTCCTCATTTTTCATAACGCGACTCAGATCTGCTGTTCTATACTACTTGTTATGTTTCTCTGTAGTCCGGCTTTCACCACACAGCTTTCATGCGAGACGTATTCTTTCACCGTGACCAGAAAATGTCGCAAATTTCCGTTTACCCTCATGAGGGAGCCGCCCCAAGATTGCATCAAAATCGCATCAAAACTGCCTCACGAGGCCATCGTGAGGCCTTCATGAGGCAAATTTCGTGTCGTGATGCACATCACGATGCCCTAACGAGGCTTGTGAGAGAAAAGATCGCTATTGATGCGTCATGATTTTGGGAAAAAATTTGCGACATTAGTTTCCATGCTCCGAGTGTGTTCCATACAAATTTTTCTTCGTTTGGTCCCGTGACTCCTGTCTTAGAAGAATTATATTTACACCTCAGCAGTTGTAAATTACAATCCATTTTACTATATCCTTTAAATTTATACTAACTTAACGCGAAACTTGGCGTATGGGGGCGCCGGCAAGTAGAACCTGTAGTGAGGGAAAGGATGCAAGCGTACTGAGCTCCGAGGCTCGGGCGGAAAGATGAGGTGACGGTGCTCGTGAGTCGTGACATGCGAAGGTGAGTATCTTGACACACCAATCGCGCGACAGGTCTGATGAGAACGCATTCTTCACCGTCTGTAACAATGTGCTGTATACGCCATGCATGGGCATGGGGATTAGCATGATGCCATCTCCAGAGAGGACAGCCGGACTAAGTGTTCGCCTCCGGGCGACTAAGTAGAGTGGTTCGGGATAATATTGCTGAATATGCAATGGCAAACAACAGGACATACAAAATATCAGACCCAAGAAGCAGCTCGATATAAAATTTGGTACATTTATGTCTCCAAACGAAGGACAGTAATCGATCGCGCAAGGTTGGCGTATGTGACGAAGGTAAGAACCCTACGGATTCATAGGCTTCTGCTTCGCAAACGCCATCATCAGGCACTCAGAGATGAGCTGCACCTGGTCCGGTCTTTCTACCATGCCCGGTCTCTGCTCCCTCAGCGCATCAATCTCTTGCACGATCCTGTCCTCGCGCACCACTTCGGGCAGGGGACCAAGCAGGCTCGGCTCAAGCGGCGGGAGCTCCTGGTTCGGCTCGTGCAGGAACAAGCGAGGTGGAAGGAGGAAGCGATACGCGCGCAGGAGGGACGAGAGTGCGATGAAGCTGCCCGTGCGGCCGATGCCCGCAGAGCAGCCGACAATGATTGGCGGATCGGGATCGAGGCTGTCGCGCACTGCGGCGGGCTGCGAGGATAGGTCGCGGTTCGTCTGATCGACAAGGTGTAGGAAACGAAGTAGCACCGCGCGGTCCTCGGGCTGTAGCACACTGTGGTCTGGCCAAGACGAGAAGAGCATGTGCTTGAAGACGACGGGTTCGCCAATGGCATCCGCCGCGTTCATGGACTTGAGCGGTTGTATCGAGACAGTTCTCTGCAGGCAGTGCGCCTCATCTATCTGGCAAACATCCAGCAAGGTGACCTTCAGCGGCTTCGCGTTGCAATCGGGCTCGGATGCAGAGACCCACGAGTCGCCGACGTTGGGTGGGATATATGCGTGCGCTTTGCGGATCCCGCTCTCGACTTCTCGTGTGAGTTGCACGACAGTGCGCACTCGACTGATAGAACCTGTGATGGGCTGTATCTTTTGCATGACTGCGGGCGGAGAGGAAATGGGTTCGAGGATGACTGTGAGGAATGCATGTATGGTGTCTGGCAACGGCGCTTGCGATGCGATCCACCACTTTCCTCCGGCCAGCTCTCGCACCCAGCTCGCATTGAGATACCTCCCCGACAGCTCTTCTGACCCACTATGCCCTACAATGACCCGGGTGCGGTCGTAGGGCATTACGTCCGCGTAACGATTGTATTTCCAGTGCTTTGGATGGCAGGCTACTGATATCGAGTAGTGCTTGACAGCTTCGTCAATTTTGATGAGTGTCGAGGGAATTTGCGCAGTGTGATGAGCCTTCGATGGATTACTCTCATGACGTGAGGCGTTGCTAACAGTGATCCTCTCGTTTTCGCGCTCCATTAGTACCTGGAGCACAGTGGTCAGATGGTCATCATCCTGAAAGTGCTCTAGCCATTCTGGGAGGGAGGCGGCGGGATTTGCGGAGGTGGGCATCGTGGTAAGAGATCGTGTGAAGTAGGGCCTCAGGTCAGGTGAGCTCTTATAAGAGAAGCCTCATGCAAAACACCAAAAGAAGAAACTGAAGAGAACATATTGCACAAGCAGACTCGAACAGTGAAAAAGGCACAATAATTCTGCACGGAGCATGCTTACATCTGGATCACCGTCACCCCTCAGCTACCGAACACGACACACAACTTGTGCACTGACTCTGCCACTGCGTTTGTTACTGTCCAGATCCTTTGCTCGAGAGAGCTTTGGAATATTGATGAGCAACATACAAAGAATGAATGCCCGTACCTCGTTTAATATACTTGATCGTCGATTGTCATTCCCGCCTGACGGGTAAAAAGGACGACTCCAAAGTGAGGAGAGCAGCGTAAAGGGGCCTGCGCTATCATATGGACGGCTCCCGCCTTGTTCTTGGCGGCACCGCCGACTCCCGAGGGCAGTCTTGGACCGCACCGCGACGGACTCGGAGTGTCCAAGTTCAGTAACACAACATGAAGGAATGGCAAAAAATGTTTCTCAATTGTAGCAACTACACAACAATCAAGTATTATACGATTTCGTCATACAAACAAGCGCAGGTCCATGCAGGAGGGTGCAGATGGCGATGTGTGGTACAATGCGGCATTACTGATGTACGTATAGGATGCGATGCAGTACAAACAAAGTGTTCGTGTAAGTCCGTTGGGAAGTCCGTAACGTGTCCGTTCATGCCAGTCATTCAGTTAGATCGTTGAATGTGCGTTCAGAACGTGACCGGGCCGTTAATCAGGAAGTTTGGGCCCCAGTTGCCCGAGTCCCCGAACACTGGCGTGTCAGTCAGTACGATGACAGTGTCAGATAGCAGGAAGAATCTAGGTACTCACAAACCAGGCTGAAGTTGCCGGTGATGACGTTGGGCGCAGTCACCTGGGCCTGTCCGTCGCGAAGGTGGATGTCCCACGCGAGGAGGACTGCACGGTCCCAATGAGAACTCTCGTCACACTCGAGGTGCACAGGAATAACTCACCAGACGTCTCCTCATCGCCGGAGCGGAGGATGATGAAGCCGCCGTCACCGTTCGTGATGTTCACAGGCGCGTCCTCAGTTTCCCTGGGCGCACTCCACGTCAGCACTTCTGCGGGTGCGCGACAGCTCGTGCGTGCGCTGCTTACCAGGTGACGGTGTAGGTCTGGCCGGACTGCCAGACCGTCTCGGCAGTCGGGTACGTCATAAGCGGGTCCCAGACGTCGCGGGCCTGGTGCGCAGCAGGCGCGGGGGCAGCGCTGGCGAGCTGAGAGAATGCGCCGAGGGCGAGCGCAGAGAGGATCGTCGTGAACTTCATCGTTGGTGCAAAAAAAACAAAAACAAAAACAAAAAGGGCGTAAGTTGAAAAGTCGAAGAGGAAACAGCTGCTTGGAAAGAAGAGAGGGGAGTCGTGAGCAGACTGAGGGGGCTCCAAGGCCCAGCGGCGCGGTTTATATATGCCGTGACGCGCGGAGCCTCGCGTCGTCCCTGCATTCGGCTGAAGAAGCCCGCAGAGGCGATGTCACCACTCGGGGTCCGCTGCTCAGCTCTGCGCCGCCCCCCTCCCGGCGAGGTTCGAGTCCGTTCTCGAAAATTAGACACAGTGGCGATCAGCCGCCGCACGCAGATCCTCTCACATCATCCGCCCTCGCCAGCTGACCTGCCCAGCCAATAGAGATACGTATCGATAGTGTCCGCGCGCATCAACCCGTGCCCTCAGGTCAGGCCGCGGCCCACTGTGGGAGGGTCTGGGAGATCCTCCTGCGGCCGGGTCCAATAGCGGGGATTCATGCCCGGCGTACTTAATTAATATTACGACACCTCCAAAATAAAAAAGAATCGACGCAGGGTGGTCAGACTTTGAAAAGGCACGGTGCTGCGCGCGCGTCACACGAGAGAAAATAAACGCACCGGTTCTTGTGCGCGCTCTGGCCGGGCACCGACGGTCACTCGCGGCTGAGAGATCGTGCACGCGCACACAGCCTGGTCTGGGCCTCCCGAGCTTCGCCGTTGTGGCGCGGGTGCAGCCGGAGCTCGGGTTTTCGGGTGCGCAGGCTGCTCGCTGTCCTCCTCCTATCGCCGTGTTACATCGGACCGGGACAGCCGCCACGCCAGAGTTTCTTTTTTCTTTTTTCGACATCCCGCACGGGTAAAGTCGACGTGTACATCCCAAATATTTAACTTGCCATGTGGGTACTACGGGTAAAGAAAGAGCGAAGATATTCTGATGAATGGGCCATTCGGCAGTACAGGAGACGAAAACAAAAGGCGAAGCGGGGTAGCGACTGGTATATACAACAGAAGGGCGAACGCGGATAGATTTGAAAGCAAGACGCAGAATGGAAGTACGACGAGTGTAGTAGAAAAGGCGCGAGATGGGGGTGACCAGACTACGGGTGCAGGACGGCGAGGTCAATAAGGATAGGCTTGCAGAGCGGTCAATTACTACTTGAGTTCCATAACTGTTCCTGCGATTGACAAATGTGCTGTAGGTATATGGCTGTATTGTATGTGCGCATTCTTGACGGGGCAGGTGCGAGTAAGGGTTCCTTGCATATGTTTAACGGACTGCAGTCGAGGCGTTCCCTGCCGTGCGCGTCGGCGGGAGACCAATAGATAACGGAGAGATGTATGCGGGCCAGGCACAGCGTGGAGGATATGGTGGGCTCATAGCGACTTGTCTTGCTTGTTCAGCGTCTCCTTGCTCTCTTTCCTCTTGCTGACCTTCACCGGCGTACGCGCCGCGAGCATGGCGACGAGCTTTCCCCGCCCGCGCTCCTTCTCCTTCTCCGCGCGGGCCACGGCCTCGAAGCGCTTGGTGACGTCCTCGTCGACGGCCTCCTCCCAGACGCGCCCGGCCTTACCGCCGGCGCCTCTGCGTGCCGGTGCCGGAGTCGCCTTCTCTGCAGGCACCTCCTGCAGCGGTGCGGACGTCGTGACCTCGAAGCAGTGCCGCGGTTCCTTGAACTCGATACGGAGCGCACCTTTCTTTCCCTCCTCTTCCTCCCTCTCCTCCTCCTTGACGTCCTGTGCCGCGTTCGCGCTCGCCGGCGCACCCGTGCTCGTGGGCTCGCCCTGCGGCGGATGCGCCTTGTCCGTCTCCGCCACGCCCTCCTCTCCCTCACTCGCATCCTCCTCGCCCGCCGCCGCGCCGTCGCGCCCCTTCTGGCTCTTCGACACCTTGCGCCAGAGGAACTTGGCCCCACCCTTGACCATCTTCCCGAGCGCGACGAACGCGTCCTCGTCCGGCAGCGCGTCCTCCTCAGGCGTCGTCATCCCGTCCGTCGCGCTCCAGAACCCGCCGCTGCCGCTGCGGCGCGGCGGGCAACGCACGGCACGGTACGGGTGGTCGCCCTCGATGGCGCCACCGGCGGCGGTGACGTCCTCGCCCTGGCAGACGTAGCGCGCGTGCGGCGGCAGCTGATCGGCGACGGCGGCGTCGACGATCCGGACGTACGCCTCGCCGGTCTCGGGGTCGACGAAGCGCATGCGGCGCGCGCGCAACATGCGCGAGCGCGCCGCGACGCCGAGCTGCATGTGCGACGCCCGCCGGCGCGGCTCGGTCGGCGGCAGCGGCGCGAAGGTCACCGCGCTGATGCTCGTGCTGCTAGCGCTCCGCGGGAGCGTCGCCGAGCGTAGGATCCCGGCTGGTTTCGAGGATAGGGACCAGGCGGCGGGGGCCGTGTCTGTGAGCGACGTCCGGGTGGAGGAGGGTGCGGTGCTGCTGGGGGGCATGGGCGAGTCGAGACCGGCTGTGCTGTCTGGTACGGAGTGGGTCGAGCTGGAGCAGGGGGTGTCTGGACAGTCGACTTGGGCTGCTTCCGAGGTTGCTGGTTCTGCGAGGTCGCGATGGGTGTGGTGTGGGGGTTGCAAGCGGGTAGGAGCTGTTGTTGCGATGGGTGTTCGCTCGGGGGAGGTGTCCCGGTCTTGTACTGAGGTGTCTAGGGAAGTGCGAGAAGACTTATCTTCCGTGGGTGCAGCTGACGGTGTCTCTGATGGTGGCTCGTGCTCCTGCTCTGTATCCTCTCCCGCTGCTTCCCCTCTGACCGCCTCTGCAGCTGATGATTGGAATGAACTGTCGGGTGTCTTGGTGGTCGGAAGCGCGACATCCGAGCCAGGCGATGGCATCGGCTCTCCGTCCTTGTTCGCCATCTTTCCGTCAGGGTGATTGGTGACGAACGCTGTGGGGATCCTTATGGACCTGGCATGAGAGATATCAGACGATCAGGCCGTGCTGTCAGTGCAGCAAAAGCTTGGCGTACCTGAGGAGGGCGGTATGTATGTGTGAAAAAGCAAAAGGAGCGCGAGTAAAGGAGTGGAAGTGGCGGAAGTTGGGGACTAGGAGGTGGTGATTTTGGAGGGTGCACCCGCCGCGGCGGTGCATCAGTAGAGCGTCGGTCAAGGGCAGAGGACGACGAGGATGGTCAGGCCGATGGCAACATGTCGGCAAAACCCTTTGCTGCCCGCCACGTGGCGATAAAATAGTCTGGATACCAGCGTTCCATCACATCGCTCGCACTCACGCCCACCCGACCCGAGGGGTGGAATGCTCGAGGTAAGTTCTACACATGCTGCCGCAGAGCCTCAGGCTGAGAAAAGCGTTTTAATCTTATAAGCTTTGGCAGGACATCTCTCATGGGCCTCTCTGCGCGTGGCTTGGTTGACACGTCGGTATCCATGGCAACAACGGCAAGCTTCAGCGTTCAGAGTATCGCGCTCGTCGTTAAAGTCGCCTTCCAGGCCGCGAATAGCAACAACAGGGGATGGTAGTGGTTGAGGTGAAATATGAGGTCATTCCGACACGCTGCGGGCACGCTGGGTCTCATTTGCTTCCGGCGTCGGGCCGTGTTTCTGGCCCGGGCGCGTGCTGATAATTTCCGCGAGTTATAAGCCCGTGACTTGCAACTTCGGCGTTCGCCAACCTCCAGCGGTAACCACCGGTGTTCGCCGGTGGCCATTGGTGTTTGCCGGCGGTCCTTGCCATATACGGGTGCGTCGCCGTGAGCGCTTGTGAACACCACCGTTCGTTGTCCACTGGAACCCATCGGAATACAGCAGCAACTGGTGAATATTGCTGTGTATCGGTGGCAAGTAGTGGGGTATGTTGGGGTATACCAGTGTTCAGCATGCCACGCTGGCTGCCACTGGTATTTGGTCTGGTCGATTCACATGGCAGGTGGCAGACACCACCAAACACTGGTGACATCCACTGGCAGGCAGTGGCCACTATCCATCAGCATATGCTGTTTATTGTTAGTATATGTCATTGAATAATAATTTTTTGCATTTCTCACTGGTCTTTGGGCAGAAGTGTGTGACATTGGGCCATGGTGTGTGACTTGCTTTCCAGGTTGGGCTAACTCTCATGAACAAATTGTTTTAAGACTAGTATCTGGCAGGTTTGGTCTCATGCTTTGTGCATAGATGGCTTATATTACACATATTCTCACTCAGAGAATATACATTTACCTGAGAATCACAACAACAAGGTTCATAGCTGTTGAAATATTAATGTGACTGCTGGCAGCCTGCCCTCACTGCCTGATAGCTCATTCCTGAGCTTATAGAAAGTTTATAAAAAATCTCAGGAGCCTCTAACCAGGTCTGTGTAGTATAATATGCTTCAAAGAATTACTTACAGCTGCTTCCACTTGGGGACACATCTGGCAATCAATTTTACACACCTTTTGCACTCAGACAGTGTACTGTGTAGAGACACTTCAGTGAGAGCTGAGTTCTGGGATAGTGCACAGTTCAGATGAGAATAGGCATCTATACAGATGCCAGTGGCTAAGCATTT